GACCTTTAACAGATGTAGATTCTCAACATAAAAGCCCCTGAGTCCAGAGCAGATAAATGAACGAAGCAAAATTGGCCTCCAGGATTTTCCCCTAGCTACACCCACCGTGTAATTCCTGGATCTGAGAATATGATGGATTTTTCTCCCGTGATTAGGTTATGTTACCTGTCACAGTTAATCTTAAAACAGGGAGACTATCCAGGTGGGCCTGACCTAATCACATCAGCCTTTTAAAAGTAGAGAGTCTTCTCTGACTCATCACAGAGGGGGAAATCAGAGACTCAAAACATGAGAAGGATTTGATGCACAGTTGTTGGCTTGATGATGGAGGGGGTTAGGTGGCAAGGAATGTGGGTAGTCTCTAGGAGCCAAGAGTGGCCCCCAGCTGACAGCCAGCAAGAATATGAAAACCCCAGTCCTACAACTGTAAGGAACTTAATTCCACCAGCAATGTGTTTAGAAGATTTTTCCCCAGAGCTTTCAAATGAGAACTCAATCTGGCCCACACCTTGATTTCAGTCCTGTGATATTTGGAGCAGAGAGCCCAGCCATGCTATGCAGGACTTGAGAACTGTAAACTAATGAGTAAGTGTTTTAAGCAGCTAAGTTTGTGGTAATTTGTTACACAGCAACAGAAAACTAATGCAGCTGAGGAACCAGAGACCCAAAAGAATTTAGTCTGACTTCAAAGTCCAGTGGATTTTCTCAGTGCTATTAAAGATCTGGTCCTTAGACTGGTGCACATGCACAACCTGACAGCAAGAAGAGTGAACTGGGACTTACTCTCAGTGAACAGCCTGTAGTTTTGTATTCATTTTCCCTCCTTTGTTTAGGTTTGTTCTAATATATATATATACACACACACATATACGTATATATGTAATTTAAATCTATTGCATTTTTCTAATATTTAGTTTTACTGTATTTCACTAGAGTATTGGTCCATGATGGATAGAATATCCAAAAAAAAAAAAAAAAAAAAAGGAAAAAGCCCTGGTCCTTCACCCCAGGTACATTGCTTGCTCTAGACAATGCTGCTCCTTGTGAGAGCTTAGGAAAAATGTCTGTGAGTCCAGAATAGATGAATGGCCCTAAGTGATATAAAAATGAAAATAGAAAGTCCCTGTTCAAAAAAATACACCTGATATGATTAATGTAGTTGATTATCAAGCAATCTTTGGGAATAATTGTTTACCATTATTTTTGGAGGTAAACTTTGGATACAGGATATACTTGTATTTATCCCCCTCCCCAAATCTGTATGTTAATGGAACTCAACAATTTCTTTCTTCTTTCAGAACCTGAGAAATCCAGGAACATGCAATCATGGTTTACACAGTCTGTAAGTGCACACAGAGGCATTTTTCTCTCAAGGGATCACTTTGGAGGTGTGGGGGCCTTTTGAATCCCACTAGTCACTCACTCACATAGTCACAGCCACTGCTGTGCGGTTACAGCAGCTTGGGGACAAGGTAGGGGCATCTTGGTGAACAGGGAGAAGCCAGAGCTGGTTTCAGATACCACCTGTCACAACCTGAAGGCTATCCTCTCTCAGGCGATGCAGGTCCCTAGCCAGCTTCCTCAAATACAATTAGTGAAGCAACCTAGCAGTCTCATCCCCCTTTGCATCAACTCACTTAAGAGGAGAACCTGGCTCCTGCCCCAACCAGACCTGTTATGGTGTGGGGATTAAATATGATTCCCTCTTTTCCTGGAAATAATCAAGGGTAGCTGACTCAGCCTGAATCCTGAGGTTCTTAATGAGGGACAATTTCCTGTCACTTTGTATAGGCCCTCATGGGTGGCAGGAAGCTAGTCATTTTGTGGTAATGTTACAGCAAGTGTTATAGTAGAGCGTTACAGCAACCTGGGTCCTGGTGAGAGACTAAGCAGCACTCGGAGCGCTGGAGAACGTAGGTTGATTACGCCAGCAGGCCCGAAGAGTGAACACTTCAAGCTGTGAACCTTGTTTATAGGTTTATACAGGCTTTTATAGGTTACTAGTCAAGATTTTGCAATATCATATGCAGAGTAAGTGTAAGAAATGGACCAATCAGGAGTAAGTTAGGTTTGTGCTGGATGCAAATAAGGTGTTACAAGTGGACCAATCAGGAGTGAGTTTTATGCAAATGAATTGTTAGAAATGGACCAATCAGAGTGAGCTTTGGGAACCAATAGCATCTTAGGGGTAAATTTCGCTTTCCTAGAAGCCCTTTTACAGAAGCACAAAAGTGAGATAATACCACCAGGTCAGGGAAACGGATGGCACTGGCAGGAAAGTATTGTCCCTGCCTGTGGGTCCTGCCAGTCTTTTCATGGGGCTTCCCACATCAGTAACAAAGCACGAAGGAGTCTCAGGCAGAAGCCAGAGGGCTGGAAGGGTGAGAATATCAAGCTAAACTCCCTGCCCCAAGACTTCTTTTCAAAACTGGCTGCCCATGTTTCTTGTGAGTCCTTTTTGTCAGCATTCACTACTCGTAGTTGATGGCTGTATCTATTTCCCAGTTTTTCTCTAAGTTTACTGTCATGTCCAAGAAAGGCTCTAAGAAGCTACCACCAAGCTGAGAAAACAGGCAAGTACTAGAGATGTCACAGACAGTGCTATTACACTTAAGATCCAGAGTATGTCTTAAAGCAGGTTCACCCCATCACTGGCACCTTTATGGAAGCTGTGTGAATGAACTCATTTATGACTTTTGAGTCCACTCACCTGGCTCCTTATAATAGGGAATTCCAGAGAGCTACTACCTGTTAATGATTGTGTACTGAGCATGCTGTGTGCAAGGCCCTATGTCCTGTCACCAAGTACAGTTGCTATGAAAGGTTTTTTTTTTTAAATAGGACACTGACATCCAAAAGCAGGTACTTTTTTGAGCCACTCATACTTCCAGCTTAAGAGCTGTAGTCTACTGAAATTTCTTCATCTGTTTATGGATTTTGGATTCCTCTGATTTAAAAAGTTTGGGAGGTTTTTGTGTGCGTTTTTTTTTTTTAATAACTTGGAATAATTTTTGGTTTACATAAAAGTTATATAGTTCCCATATACCTCTGTTTCCTCTATTGTGAATATTTACACATTTGTCACAACTAAAGAACTAACATTGGTACTTTACTGTGAACTAAACTCAACTTTGCTTGGATTTCATTAGATTTTACCTAATGCTCTTTTTCTGTCCCAGGATCCAGTCCAAAATATGGTTGACCCTTGAATAACTTGGGTTTGAAGTGTGGAGGCGGACCCATAGGCGGATATTTTTCAATAGTAAATACTACAGTGCTATGTAGTCTGTGGTTGATTGAATCTGTGGATGTGGAGAAACCTCAAAAACGGAGGGCCAACTGTAAGTTATATGCCAATTAACCCCTTAGTTTTCTGCATATTTACTTGTAATGTCTCTTTAGTTGCTCTGGGCTATGACAGTTTGTTACAATTTCTTTTTTTTTTTTTACGACCTTCATAGTTTTAAGAACTCATTCTGTAGGATGTTCCTCAGATTCATCTCATAGTTTTCCCAGGGTTAGACTGAGATTATGTGTTCGAAGACCAGAGAAGTTAATTGCTTTTCTCAACACATATTAAAAGCAAGTGCAAACAACGTGGTTTATCACTGATGTTAACACTGATCATCTGGTTAAACTAGTGTTTGCCAGGTTTCTCTACTGTAAAGGTTCCTCTCCTGCCTTTCCATACTCTGCTTTGGTAAATCTGGGGAGTTAAGTTCCACCTGTTTGATGGAGAGTATTTAGATAAATTATTTGGAATTCTCCTGTTTAGGAGACTTTTCACATATCCCTCATTTACTGTCAATCACTTATATTAGCATTCTTTGACTTTAAATTTTCACATCTTAATTTTTAATGCCAAGTTCTAAACAAATATCTGCAATTTTCTTGTTTTCAAACTTTTTCCTCTTTTGTGCCCTCTTCATTCGCATGCCCTATTTACATACATTAATTCAACGACTGGCTTTTTCATGACTTGATGGTCCCTAATCAACATTATGTACTTTGTTCTTAACTTACAGAGCCCTATACCTTTCTACCTACCTGCTTTCTGTCTTATGTGTAGATCTCAAGTGTAACCAGGGTTTTAATAGCCAGTGAAATTTTTTCCTGCGATAAGGCAAGCTTGAATTTTCTGTATCTTTATGGTAGCGTAACTATTCAATTGTTTTCTAGTTCTTGTTTACAATTCAGACCAACTGAAACCATCTTTTAATTTAAATCCTTTGAAAAATTGGACCAGTCACTTCAAGTTTACACCTTGTCACACTCCTGCCTCTAGTGAAACACTAGTGACCCTCCCCCACATATACCA